TGTGCCTTCTGGCAGGAAGTGAAGATGGCTTCGTGTTCTGGCAGTTTCTCTTCCCGTCATGTGTGTTTAGCTCAATTAGACATCAGTGAGTGCATTCAGCTCTGGCAAGACATGGACACGAAATGGTGGACATGAAATGATTCACCCCAGGAGAAGACGCAACGGGACCCACAGTTGCGTCCCTGGGGAGTCCCTGGGCCTGTGTGAGGCCCCTGAAAGAGGAGGTACCCAAGGGAGCCCCTTCCTCAAGAGGCAGAGGGGGACCCCTCGCCCCGCTCGCAAAGGGTTCTGCCACAGCTCGGGGTGGGCCCGGGTCGCACGGCTGTAGACTGAGTTATGGGGCCTCCAGGGCCGTCTGGCTAGGCGGTCTGCCATGTTATGGCCACTGTGTCTGCCCCAGGGCCCCTGACAGGAAGGCGGTCAAAGGGGAGCCCCTGAGAGTGGAGGCCCTGAGGGCGCCGTGCGTCTTGAACGTGGTGCAGGAAACTCTCACGAGACCTAGGAATGACTCTCACTGTGTCTGTCACCAAAGCGGGAGAATGTGGCCGGTCAGTCAGCGCTGGTCAGAACAATGAGGACTTCCTGGTGCCAAGAGTCAGAACAAACGTGTGAACCAATGGGGTGCGGACGTCACCGAGCCCTCTCCCAGACAATGCTGAATAAACGGAGGGGTTCGTGTCAATATTTGGATAAGGAAACATGCCTGTCTGAGTCAAAGGCATCCAGCAGAATAAAGCTCTTGAGAAACCGGGTACAGTATTGACAGCGCCCGCCCTGGCAGTTTGGGGAGACCGTTCTCATGGAAATGAGTGTGTCTCGGGGCTGAGGGCGGGGCGGGGCCGGCGGGCTTCAGCTGGGCGGTAGCTGGGGTTCAGTTCAGACAGGGCACCCAGAGTGAGGACAGGGAGGCCCTGACTTCACGTCTTGTTGCCGGGCCATTTAGCAAAGACCCCGCACTCAGAGCTGTGAGCAGGCCCAGCACCAGCAGCCAGGCCGGCGGGTCGAGGGCCACAGGGTCACCCACCTGCAGCCGGGGGTAAGCTGCTTCCCGGGAGCACAGCACCCCGCCGGCTCCCCACGCCCCAGTTTGCCGGGCCGGACTCCCCTCGTGTTGGCGTTTCCCATCCTCTGAAGCCAGCGCTTTGGTGACAGAGCAGAAGGCCACAGCCCACATCTTTGGCCCGAGGTTTCGAGGGTGCTGGGAATCTCAAAAGAAAAGCAGAGAAATTCAATAGAAAGGAACAAAACAAAACACAAGCTTTCTCTTTAAAGCTAAGAGAGAGCGAAAAAGGGGGAGACTATTTTCTATTTTAACACTTTAGTGTATAATGGCACATGAATAATATCATCATTTTTCTGCCATTTATTCAGATGTGAAGGAACTCAGAGAATAATAATAGCTGCTGTCAAAGGTATTTATATTTAAAAGGTCTTTATGTAAAAAATTTTTTGTCAGGACTGATTTTTCTCTGAGAGAATCCCACCATCTCCTAGCAACCAACCTGGCCATCTTTGTGAAGAGATGCTGCTTTTACAGGGGCGCATAACCTTCGTGGGGAGCTTTTGCAAATTTAGCAGCCTCGACTCATCTGCATGCAAAGCAAGTTGTTACCGGGTCCCAGAAGCAGGTTCTAGCTACGAGTCTGGGGCCGGGGCCCCTCTCTGGCAGAAGCATGCAGACACGAGCGGCGCATCCTTTCCCCCAGACGCTGTGGCCTCTCCTGCTCAGCAACTGAGAAAGGGCCCTTCCTTCGACACCCGCTCACCCAACTTTTATCTCAAAACGAAGAAAAGACAAGCTAACCCGAGGAAATGCAAAAGTTTTGCAAATTACTCAACCAATGGAAGGATGATCTCTCAAGAAAGAAAATGTCTAGTAGCTCATTTATTACCAAAAAAAAAAAAAAAGAGTAGTGACACATTTGGTGTTCAGTCCTCTGGTTCGCGATGGTGTTTTGATATTGGTAACGTATGAGTGTCATTTTCACTTCTTCGCATCGCACAGGAGGGACCGTTCGCCGCCACAGACCCTGGCCCCTGGCCGTGGCTCCTAAGCTCCTTCGAAGACCAGTACGGTGACGTGCAGGTTACAGAGGCAGCGCCTGAGCCCTGGAGTCGCAGAGCGAGGAGACAGGTGGGGCGGGGCAGGTGGAGAGGAGACAGGTGGGCATCCCGACAGAGTAGTTCTGAGGTCTGACGGCAGGCTGGGAATTCCAGGAGAGTAAACAGCAGCAGTGCCGCACGCGGAGACAGCCCCAGTGGGGCGAGGACACGCCGTTAAAAGCAGGATGTTTAAATAAGCACAAGTCAGTCCAGCGAGCTGCCTGGGACCGCTGTGTCTGTCCTCCGAATGCGAAAAGCGCTCGGGCGCTGCCCCGAGCCGGGTGGCCATGCCGGGAGCGCCCCACCCCGGGAAGATGTCCCCGCGGCCCGGCGGCCAGTGACTTCAGCAAGGTCGGAGGCCGCGCCACCTGCCCTCCTCTCCCCAGCTCTGCTTTACTGCTCTTCTGCCGTTTTAAGTCTCCGCCTCTCCTTCCCCGGGGCCCTGGGCAGATGCCCGTGTTGGCTGGTTGCTTGGCTTTAGTTTGAGTTCCCCTCCCACCCACCCGGGCGACATACTTTGAGTCTTGTTCTTTGTTCCGAAAGGTTCTTCTTTCTCCTACTGAAACGCTGTCTGGGCTCTCTAATAACGATGCTTGACATTTCCGGAGTGTTTTACAGTTTCCAAAGGTCTTTTGCTTATCTCACTCATCTTCGCCACGGCCCGGGGGAGGAAGACATCCTCCTTTTCTCACAGCTCCGTTTTTTATACCCAAGGAGACAACGCGAAGGCATGATGATCCCTCATCGCCAAACTCAAAGTCAGCCACAGGTGAGAGCATTCAAAGGCAGGGAGGCGCTGCAGAGATCATCCCCTCTATCTGTGGATCAAAATGCTTCTAGAATAGAAGCAGGAGGGGTGAGCCCTGCGGCCGGGGGCAGGCAAGGCGTGAAGGCGGGCACAGGTGCACAGAGCAGTGCGACTTGAATTGTTAAGGGCCCTGATCTGGCCCTGGGGCCCTCTGGAGGCCGGGCAGCAGGATGGGCCAGTCTCCCCTCCAGCACCACTCGAGGGAGGCTGGGAGAGCCGGTGCTGGCGGGCCTGATGGCTCTTTCCTGTGGCCCCATCGCCGAGGCCAGCGAGACCGGGCCGTCCGAGGCAGCTGCAGGCTCCGAAGTGGGGAGCGCAGGTTTCACCCCATGAGTCAGACTCTTGTATGGCCCAGAAATTTTCACAAACAAGGCACTTTAAGGTCTGGGTGCTCCTGCTCGCTCCTGGGCGCTCCCAGGTTCGAAATCTTAACCCAAGTGCACAGCCCACGGCCTCAGGCCCAGGCCGCGCCCTGGGCAGTCACGGGCATCGGGCACAGTGTGAACCCACCGACTGACACTTTGGGCAGTTTTGTCATGAAAATCGAGCATATGAGACAGAATGTGCCTTTATTTCTGCTCAAGGTCGATTATCCCCTCTCAATGGCCTTTCTCCATTGCGTTCATTTCACCCGCCTCGCCTTTCTCGCCCCACTGTGAAATCCCGAGCCATGTGTTGGCCCGTAACCAGTCCCCGGTTCCGGAAGATGTTTTCACTTCTCCAAAACAGAGGTGGGGAGAGGGAGGAGAATGAGCCTGGATGTGAGAGGGACGTGAACCAAGCTGGAAGGGGAAATGCTTTCCTCCGGACGCTCGGTCCCCACATTGTTGTTCCGGGGGTGTCTCTGCGCTTCCCATCCGGGACCCGCGGGGGTCACCCCACAGCTGTCTTGCCCACCGTCCTATCAACCGAGACAGTGAAGCCCCTCAGCCAACAGCCCAGGTAACTCAGACAGAAAAGGAGGCCTGGTTATTTGTGATTGTTATGTTGACCTGCCCGCGGGCCCAAAATTTCGATATTCTAGGGGACATTGCAAACTCATGCCACTGCACGATTTATTCAGCACCACAGCCCAGAGAGGACGGCCCTGCCCGCTCGCCAGCCCGCTGTGTGCCTAAGGACGCTGCCAGCCCACTGTCTGGAAGACACTCGGCTGTGTCCCTCCAGGCCTCCAGTCGGCCCACACACACACACACACACACTAGCCACCTGCCCTCTTGCACCAACATTTCACGGAGCTTAGTTTCCAGTGGCAGGAGGAAGCAAGACACCTGGTGTGCTGCTCTCCCGTTCGAGCTTTCCCCTTAGACATCGGCGGGGGGCGGCAGGAGGGGGCAGCCTTGTGGAGAGAGTGGCTCCATGAAGCCCACTGGACTGGCAAAGACTCCAGTGAAGTTTCTGAGTCTGTCCAGAAGCCCTCAACACAGGTCATAAAAAGTGGTTTGAGAGGCGACGTGAAGACAGTTTTCTACATCATCAAGAGGCGTATAATGGAAGCTTGGACTTGAGCTCTGGCTTCCTGTGTTGTTCTGCTTCTTTCTATTTTAATAGCTCCGTTGGAGACAATAAAGTGACAAGACAGACGGTCTGTGCTGGGTCTCGCTCTGCCTCTGACCCCATCCGTTGACCCACCCCTGACCCCACTGCACTCCAAATTTATTGAATACGGGCAAATATATTTTTCGTGCACACCTAACTGGCAGAACAGCTGAAAGCAGCAAAACCAGCCCCCAGAATTCTTTCTTAAGTAGCTTTTCTTTTGTAGGGAGGAGGAAATATTGACTCAACTGGGTTAGGAAGATGCATTCGGCTACCTTCCCGTGATCCTTTCTGTTTGTGCCTTCTCGGGAACCGCTTCAAGTTTATTTTTAGTTCCCAGACAAGTATTTTCCTTTAGCTGCATGTTGACTTTGCTGCTATATTTTTGTTTCTTAAAATGTTGGCAGTTTTCCGAAGGAAAGTTTTATTTTGATTATCAGACACCTGAGACTTCTTGTAAAAAGAAGCCACTGGGAACACTTAGGTGAAATGTCTGCATCCTGGTACTTGATGTGACTCACTATTACAGGCTGTTTATCATTTGACTTACCACCAGGAAGGGCCTTCTGGGCAAAGCAAAACCGCCAGACTCCTAGTCTGAGCTGAGAAGGCGATGCTGGAGACGAAGAGCGAGCGTCCGATCTTCAAAGACCCGCAGGGCACAACGGACGTTTCTGCCAGGGGGCGGGTGGAGCCGGCAGTCTGGGGGGTCACAGCCGCTGGCCGCTCGCCCTCTCCCCGCACACCGGCGCCCCCCTCCCGGCTTCCAGAAAGCCCCGAAGAATCTCCGTCGTCTCTTTGGGTGTGCGTGTCCCCCTCGTTGTTTGGTGAGAGCACCGCAGAAGCCTGAGAAGCAAGTCACTGCTTCAGTATTTGTCTGGGGTAGGAGGCTGGCTCCTCTGTTACTCCTCTCTGGCTCTGGTGTAGTCAAGGAGCAGAACGTTTGGCCTGGCTGTGAGTAGCTTGCGCGCATGCCCCGTCTGGAGGTCAGAGGCTGACCACAGGGTCGTTCCAAGCCATCTCTGACTCTGCTCTCGACTGCGTCTAAGTCAGCCCCAAGCCCGCCTGCTCCCCTCACTGACACTTTGAGCCTCCCCTCACCTGCACCCTTACCTTACCGTCCTCAGGCAAGTCCGTGACCGTTGCTGCTTTTGCGATCTCAACCAGCACACCTTCGGGGTATGGTGCCCCCAGGACAGGTCCTCGGCTCCCCTGGGGTGCGGACACGCTGCACCCTCAGGGCGGCTCTTGTCTGCTGCCTTCTCCAGCCACACCTGTACCCAGAGAGCCGAGGCCGCAGTCTCCCTGACCTCCGAGCGCCCGCATGCCTGCATTCAGCAGCCAAACCCTCCCTTACCTACAGTCCTGCCGCCTCCTTTCTGCAAGGACAAATAGGTCTGATTTAATGGCAAGTGTCACAGTGACCCCCACACCAAGTTCACAGTAATTCCCTAGAAACCACACTGACTGGTGGAAAACGTGCTCACTTTAGGCTGGGGTGGTCAGCGATGGCTTCGGGGAGGATGGAGCCCCGGGGCCTGGCCCGTGTCACCTTCCTCTGCAGCCCCGCCCGGAGCTACGCTGGGCGGCCGCTCTTGCCCCTGGCCGCCCCGGCCGCCGTCCTCCCGACTCCCCACTCCCTGCTGTGGGATCAGCCCCTTGGACAGCGGCTGCGAGGTGAGGCTGGGGCTAGTCTCGTCTCCGGGGGGCAGCTCACTCAGACATCACAGAATCCGGCCCTGCACCTCCTGGAATCTGCTGAAGCCAGCACCTCCCTGAAGCCATCACTGACGTGGTCAACAACGGCCCGTGGGTCCTTTAGCACCTGCCCAGACCTGGGGCCCGCTCTCTGGGGGTGTCGGGAAGCGCCCGCAGGAGGAAGTAACCAACCCCACCGTGAGTTTTGACATATTAGGCCCGTGGCGGGCGGGCGGGCGGGCAGGCGCTCAGAGGTGGGGGGCCGAGGGCTGGGAACCAGGGGACTTGGCAGTGCTGAGGGGACACCGAGGACAGCGAGAGCGGCGCGACCACGGCACAGCGGCGGTGGCCCGGCGTGGCCCGGTGAGGGGACACCGAGGACAGCGAGAGCGGCGCGACCACGGCACAGCGGCGG